AAAAAAAAAAAAGAAAAAGAAAAAGAAAAAGAAAGAAAGAAAGAAAAGAAATTACAATAAATAAATTCCCTCTTGAGTGGTGAGGCAGCACATGCCCATGATTACAGCAACTAGGAAAGCTGAGGCAGTAGGATAGCAAGTTTGAGGTCAACCCAAGCAACTTTGCAAGACCCTGTCTCAAAATTTTAAAAAGTTTTTGGGCCGGGGATTTAGCTCAGCGGTTCAGTGGCCTGCCTTGCAAGCACAAGGACCCAAGTTCAATCCCCGGTACCAAAAAAAAAAAAAAAAAAAAATTAAAGTTTTTAAAAATGTTCAATAGACATTGGGAAATGTGAATAAAATATTCAAATGAGAAGAGGAAAGTGGAGAGAAAGGTCAAGAAAAAAGAAATCAAAGGAAAAAATAGAAACAAAGCTTTTGTATATAAGAGAAAGAGGAATGGGGAAAAAAAGAAGCAAGACATATCATGCATTGGTACAAATTCCCTATGATGAATGCCATATATATATATATATAATATATATATATATATATTATATATATATATGATGCACCAATAAATGTTTTACTAAAAGAAAAATCAAAACAAAACTGGGTGAGCACTGGGTGAGCAGGGTGTGGTGGCACACACCTGTAATCCCAGCATTTGGGAAGCTGAGGCAGGAGGATTAAAAAAAAAAAAAAAAAAACACACAAAAAACTGGGTGTAGTGGTGCATACCTATAATCTCAGCACTTGAGAGAATCACTGTGAGTTTGAAGCCAGGCTGGGCTACATAGTGAGTCCAAAGTCAGCCTGAACTACACAGTGAGACCCTGTCTCAAAAAAAAAAAAAAATGTGTAGCCAGGCATGGTGGCACATACCTGTAATCCCACCACTTGGGAGGCTGAGGCAGGAGGATCCAAGCAAGTTCAAGGCCAGCCTGGGCTACATAGTGAGACCTTGTCTCAAAAAAAAACCCAAAAAAAAACCAAACTTTTTTTTTTAAAGGTTGAGGATGTAGCTTAGTAGTAGAACGTTTGTCTAGCACGCTGGATGCCCTGGGTTCATTTCCCCAACCCTGAAAAAATTACTCTCAACATTAGAAACAACCACAATAGAAATTTGAAAATGAGGGCCGCAGACTTAGCTTAGTGGTTCTGCCTCCTGCCTTGCAAGCACAAGGACCCAAGTACAATCCCTGGCACCAAAAAAGAAATTTGAAAATGAAAAACAAAAAGTTGCTCTGAGCCCAAACCACCCTAAAAAATAAAGTCTATTAAACCAGACATTGTGGCTTACACCTGTCATCCCAACACTCGGGGAGGCTGAAGCAAGAGGACTGCACGTTCTAGCTCAGCCTGGAAAATTTAGGAACTTAGCAACACTCTATCTCAAAATAAAACCTAAAGTCTATTAAAAATGAATACTTAGGGTCTGGGTATACAGCTACAGTGGTAGCGTGCTTGGGGAGACCCTGGGTCTCATCACTAAAATAAATAAATAAATATTTTTGTTATGGAGCGCTTTGCTGAGTGTGGATCAGACCTGGCCATGTCTTCTCCACCCTGTCTGTCTTCCTGGGAGACCTATTGCTTCCACTTGGCCTTCATTCCCTCACTCATTCATTCACAAGCTTTCTTGAACTCCTGCTAGTGCTAAGGACTACAGTAGATGCTGCGGATACAGTACTGACACACATTCCTCTTTAAAAGCACATAACAATTGCTTAACTTATAATGGTGATACTAAGGTTTAGCACTGAGAGAATGCCAAACAAGTTCTAAACACATAAATCACATCATTCAATCTCCTCAGCAGCTTTACATACTACATTCTATAATAATCACACTCAGAGAGGTAAAGTATTTTTCCTACAGACATGCAGCCAGTAAGCAGCAAAGGCAGAACTGGAACACATGCTGCTGAATGAAAAGGGACAACACTGGCAAGAAAGACAGGCCCCACAGCCTACGGGGCTCTCTGTGTGCCCCATTAAGGACTTTTGGTACTAACCACAAACAACTCTGTGTTGCTAACACTCCTAAGTGTTTGTATGAAGATAAACGGTCCTCAACGGCAGGCGTGTTCACTTCTTCGTATCCTCCAGAGAAAATAGCAAGGAGAGCAGGGGACACGGATAATGGCTCATGTGTCGACTGATCAGTGAAGTTTAATCGCTTCACTGACTGACAGCAGCCATGAGACATGAGACAATAGAACTAGAAATCTGGTTCAAGGTGAAAAGTAAATATTTTCCATTTTACACCTGCTAGAAGAGCCAAAAAAGCAACAGTGATGCAACAGCAGAAAAACAAGTGCTAAAAAGTGTTAGCAGATATACAGATAAATGAAATTCCTTTGAAAAAAATAGCCTGGCAAGTTACTCAGAAAGTTAAACTTGGAGTTAGTATTATGATAATAGCATTATTCATTATATCCAAGTATGGAACCTACATAAAACTAATGAGTGGATAAACAAAATGTAGTTGTGTTAGTCACTTTACTGTGACTGAGACATGATACAAGACATCTACGATTTAAAGGAGAAAAGGTTTAATTTGGCTCATGGTTTTGGAGATTCAGTCCATGGGCAGCAGGCTCCAAAGCAGAAACCTCATGTCAGAGCATAGATGTTTAGTTCATGGTAGCTGGGAAGTAGAACAGAAGAAGAATGGGTGAAGGACCGTGTACAGTACCACCCAGACACACTAATCAGTGCACTTTACCAATCTGCGAGGTGTTTCATAATCCAGTGAAGCTAACCAATCAGAATTAATGGTCACAGCCGTGTGTTCATACAATGGATTTCTTCAGCCACAGAAAGGAAGGAGGTACTGATATGTGCCGCAACATGCATGAGCTTTGAAAACATTATGCCAAGTCTGATATGAACTTTGCCCAGGATTTCCTTTGTAATAGTCCATACTTTTTCTTATTGAACTATAAGAGCTTGTCCTATAAAAGCAAATAGCAGCTGGGTGTGGTGGCTCATGCCTGTAATCCCAGCCCTCAGGAGGCTGAGGCAGGAAGATCGCTATGAGTTTGAGACCAGCCTGGGCCACATAGTGAGTTCCAGGTCAGTCTCAACTACATAGTGAGACCCTGTCTCAAAAAAAAAGCAAATAGCCTTTTGGATATTAAATATCTTGAAAATGTTTTTCTACTTTGATATTTGTTTTTTAACTTTAAATTTCATTTTCTAGCTGGGTGTGGTGGTGCATGCCTGTAATCCCAGCACTCTGAGAGGCTGAGGCAGGAGGATTGCTGTGAGTTTGAGACCAACCTGGGCAACATAGTGAGTTCCAGTTCAGTCTCAACTACATAGTGAGACTCTGTCTCAAAAACCCCAAAATAAATAAAGTTTATTTTCTACACAAGAATATTAAATTTTAGCCAGTCAAATAGATCAGATTTTTCCTCTCTGGGGTCTTTTGTGCTATGCTTAGTTTGGAAAATCATTAGCCAGCTGGGTGTGGCAGCATAGGCCTGTAATCCCAGAACTCTGGGAGGCTGAAGCAAAAGAATCACAAATTGAAACCCAGCCTGGGAAATTTAGCACTCTAGTAAGACTCTGTCTCAAATTAAAAAAGGGCTGAATGCCACCTGCCTCACAAGCACAAGGACCCAAGTTTGATCCCCAGTCCA